TTATAAAAAAACAATAAATATGATTTAGTGTATAGACATTTTAAAAAACTTAGATGTTTTAGAATATATTTTTGTCTATGTGGACATCCTAGATAGAGAGAAAACTCCGTAATTATATAATAGATTTGGCGAGATGCTACGACTATTTAGCTAGTTTCTTTGAGATTTATTAATACAAATATCTAATCTTCTTGATATTCCATGGATCTCTTATGAATTATGATTGGTGAAAATATAGGGAATTGCATCTAAATTTTGTATAAATATAGGAAATTCACATTGCCTATTCGCATATTTCTCAAATTCGTTTAATAAGTAAATCCTTTTATTTATTTTTTTTGGGTCACATACTTGAAAATAGTAAATCCTAGAATTTGTAATAACATACATAAAAAGAAAAATCATAAAAAATAAAGTTGTATTTTCTTAGGAGTATGAAATGGTGAAACTGTCAATAGCGCGATTGTACAGCTCTAATTGCAGTATTAGTATTGTGACCAAAAAAAAAAATTGCAGTATTAGTACAACTTACTAACATGTTAAAACAATAATATAGTTATAAGGAATGTTGCAAAATGCACTATAATCTGATCCTTGTTCTAATCATCTTGCAATTAAAGGATAAAGCTTGAAAATACTTTAAGAGGGTTTCTTCTTAAGATCATTGCGTCTAATACGTTTCAGTTCTTGAGCTCCATTCTTTAATCCCCTGCAAATCAATAAGATGTAAGAACAATGAGTTTCACTTTGGGATTTTTACGGATTTACGATTGTCTAAAATATGTTAAAAAAAAAAAATGTATCAGTAAAACTAATTTATGTTGTTACCTTTGGCACAAATAGACAAAGGTGTAAAAGAGAAGAAGCAATAGCAAAGTAATGATGGAGATAATAATGTAGAGCATACTTCTCTTCTGCAAAACAATTTATCATTGAATAAATGTAAAACACGATAAATTTTGAAAAAAGTGTTTATTTAGTACCTTTGGTTTTTTTCGATAAGGGCTTTGAACCTCCTGAACATGTATGTGCATCGCAAAACTGGCGCAAGAAGAATTCTACAGTTTCAAAGTTAAACAAAAACCCAAAAAAGGATGAATCTTTATGGATCAATACAGTAAAATCATTTGCAATAAAGAAAAGGTTTCATCTTTTTGTATCCANGAAGGTTATTATACCGTGAAGACGGTTGGCTGATGGACCATTGTTTACCGGAAAACAAGTATTAGCCAAACTCTGGAACGCAACAAACAGATCAGATAAGCCTTGGAATCAAGAAACAGAACAAAGAGAACAGGGTTAGAAACAAGAATTCTTTCAATGAAATGTTCTTTGTAATTGTCAAATTGTCAAAAGTTATATGGGTTTTATGTGTGTTTAGAGTCCATACTTGTCATGATATTGATCGTATCATAACCGAAAAACCACTTTAGTACTATAGACTATGCTGATATCTAAAAAGTCATACCTCACATAAGAGCCGGTTTCTTGCAGCAGCTGCAGGATTACACTTAGACTTGAGCCGAGCCGTATCTATAACAAGATCACAATGCAACGCTCCTCAAAGATCCGCCAGACATTTACCATGACTCTGGATTCAATTTTCAAAACGCACAAAAGAAATGAGATTCAAAAAGACTTATTTATTTATAGCAGGTGAACCGCTAATGACTCCAAACAATATGAATTGTCACAAAAATGTTTAATCATTTGAAGAAAAGTACTTTGTGCTCTATAAATGTCATTGTCTCGATGAACTCTACAATTACTCGGTAATTGATACCGCTCATTTTCCACATACGGCATCAAATACTACTTCACACACAGCAACAAAAATCAACAATCAAAATCCGTGATCACAATTCTTACAAGTTCTCT